CTGACAAGCTCTTGCAGATTGTCTCCCTTCAGTTTACAATATTAAGAAAATATAGAAAAATATGAGATAGTGTCTGCCCTGTTCAGATCCTGCCTCTGCCATAACCTAGAGGACAAGCTTAGCTCACTGCAGGAGATAAAAGGTAGGATAAGGTATCCAAGTCAACCACAGGTGAATCCCATCTTGTCATCCTGAGAAAGGATGATCTAAAGGATGAACTGTTGAACTCAACAGGAATGAAAACATAAACAAAAAAGTCTAGGGAAAAGTAGGGAGCAATCAAAGGACTTGGAGCAAACAAGGAACTTTTTTCCCCCCACTCATGTTCTAGGTGAATACTGATTCTGCCCTGGGGCTGCTGTTAATCTATGAAATACTTGGGGTTTTTCCACCCCCACCTTTTGATTGAAATGGCTGCAAAGGGTTTTACTTGTTCTCAGGCAGCAAATGAATGTTAACTTTCATCTTTCCTACCCTTGTTACACCGGGCATTCGAACACTTACACCATCTGCATAGGACACAGCGTAGCCCTCACCAAAACACAGGCAATCAAGAGGAACAGATTGGTTCATGCAGCACTCCATGAAATCCTCATTGCAAGCAGTGCAGGCGACAATTAAATTGGTATGAAACAAATCAATTAATCCAACAACAGCACAGTAAGTTGGCCCTGAAACAAGTCAATTGAATTAACAAAGCAGGACAGTAAAGCAGGTTAACAGAAAACAGTAAATGTAGAGTCATCTAACCGACACGAAGACGTCCTGGTTCCAGCTGAGCCCAAGAGGTATTTTTACCAACTTCTGGCCACGCTCCCCTGCAGCCAAAGCTCTGAGGGACCTGATCCCACAGCACTGCTGAGAACTGCTCAGCTTAAGACTTGAGTGCCTTGTCCTCTTAGAAAAGCTCATCTCATTGACAGCAGGCAGTGCCCAGGGAGATCAGGCTGGGCAGGCTAAAGTTACTGTTCCGTTTACTCCTTTGAATCCTACTGCTCTGCTTGAATCAATCCAAGCCCTTCTGCACTTACCCAGATCGGTAAACTGTTCACTAGGTTATCCCAACCAACCCACCTCAGTGAACATTTTCAAGCCCAGACCTGCAATGTTGAACGCAAAAGACATCATCCATGACTAGGGCAGAGATGCAGAAATTACCACCAAAGCTGTGTGTGACACTTCATCAACACCCACCCCCACATGGACGTGCTTCCAAAGTAGCAAGGTTATACTAAAAAAAATAAATACTAGTTTGCTAGAAAACTACGCGTACAAGTTGTAAGCATGATGGGTAGTGATCAAGCTAAGATGACTACGAAGAGCCTACTTAAAGGGTAACACACAGGGCACTGCAGTAGCAGCACATTCTCTAGCAGTGAGGGAGACGTGGACACTGTTGGTGCACCCCAAGGGTATAAGCCAGAGGAAGGCAACGCCACCACGTCACAAGATGATGGTGGTGCTATGCACCAAATGCGCAAGTAGAACGCCAACAGGTTATTCACGCACAACAAAACATTATGTTAGAACACTATGGCAGAAAGCAAGAAAAAAGCTTTCATGCCACAAAAAGGCTCGCATAGACAAGCACACAAGCAACTCAGTTACTTCTCAATACCATCACAGCTTCCTTTTTAAAGCTATCTTCCAGGAAATAATGTAAATATGTTAATTTCTCTGCCACCAGCCATCTACCTCCTCCTGTTCATGCATTTCTGCTTGTCTCAGATACAGCTATCAGCAAGTTTCAAAGGACACAAAAGTTTTGATTATAAAGGTAATATGGCTATACACTTCCCTCAGTTGAAAGCTTTCCTTTCTTTTTAGCCCCCAACCTTTGCCCCTGCTACAGCTGCCAAGTTCTGCAAACAAATCCACTTCTCTGTTCAAGTCGGATAATTCCCAGTAGGTCAAAATTGTGTAAAATTGTTGGTGACATGGACAGTGGGATTGAGTGCACCCTCAGCAAGTTTGGTGACGACACCAAGCTGCGTGGTGAGGTCGACACGCTGGAGGAAAGGGAGGCCATCCAGAGGGACCTTGACAGGCCAGAGAGGTGGGCCTGTGCAAACCTCATTAAATTCAACAGGCCAAGTGCAAGGTCCTGCATCTGGGTCAGGGCAATCCCAAGTACAAATACAGGCTGGGCAATGAGTGGATTGAGAGCAGCCCAGCAGAGAAGAACTTGGGGGTGCTGGTGGATGAGAGACTGGATGTGAGCTGGAAATGTGTGCTCACAGCCCAGAAACCAAATTGCATCCTGGGCTGCATCAGAAGCAGCATGGCCAGTAGGTACAGGGAGGCGATTCTCCCCCTCATCTCTGTGAGACCCCACCTACAGTACTGTGTCCGGCTCCAGGGCCCCCAGCACAAGAAGGACAAGGACCTGCTTGAGTGGATCTGGGGGGTGATGATCAGGGGGCTGGAGCACTTCCCCTGTGAAGACAGGCTGAGAGAGTTGGGGTTGTTCAGCCTGGAGAGGAGAAGGCTCCAGGGAGACCTTCCAGCAGCCTTCCAGTACCTGACAGGGTCCTACAAGAAGGCTGGGGACTCTTGATCAGGGAGGGTGGCAGTGATAAGATGAGGGGTAACGGTTTCAAACTGAAAGAGGGGAGATTGAGATTAACTGGTAGGAAGAAATTCTTCACTGTGAGGGTGGTGAGGCCCTGGCACAGGTTGCCCAGAGCAGCTGTGGCTGGCCCCTCCCTCGGAGGGGTTCAGAGAAGCTGTGGCTGCCCCCTCCCTGGCAGTGTTCAAGGCCAGGTTGGATGGGATTTGGAGCAACCTGGGCTGGTGGAAGGTGTCCCTGCCCATGGCTGGGGGGTTGGAACTGGATGGTTTTTGAGGTCCCTTCCAACCCAAACCATTGTGTGATTCTATGAAAATATACCATGCACGTAACCATAAAATCATGTATGACAGTAAAGCACCTAGATGAAATCAACAGCTTCAGTCCTCATGAGAGAAGAGCATACTAACTTACCCTTTTGTGAAAGAGGACAGCGATGTCCAGAAAAGTCATGGGTTGCAAAAACTGTACCATGTTTTCCAAGTCCCAGTTTAAAGTCAGGAAAAAAAACCCTTTGCCCTTGTTTAAAATAAATGCTAAAACTTTCCAAAGATGCTCCCAGCCATCCAACCTGCTGATCTAGTTCAGCACGTTACAGAAAGCCCAGTAGAGGGATGAAGTCGCCCCTGTGAATCCATCAGTCCTTCACATTATGACTTTATGCTACTATCACAAACATCTTCTTCAGGCAGACCAGAAGTCCAAAGGTACAGCTCCCTCAGCCAAAATCCTGTCACTCTGATGCTACGTGAGCCCTGATGCCAGAATGCCATCGTTAACTTTACGGAAGGTGCTGTGTGCAGGCTTCGGTGGGCTGCCAGTTTTGACCATCTATGCTTCAAGGTAAGGGCATAAGGACAGAAATGGCATGGTTGCCTGCCAGCATCACAGGGGCTGGCAAGTTCTGGGGGATTGTCCTTCAAACGAAGGGAAGGGAAAGTCTTTATGAAGCCTGCGTGCATATACTCCTGTTCACATGAGAAGCGGGAGCAACAGGGAAGTGTCAGTTCTCAGTGCTGGGCCAAAGTTTAGCTCACATGAAATGGCTCCCCTTCCACCCCTACTGTGACCTCTGCTCCTCCCGCCAGAGCACCACATGTACAGCATACCAGAGGCACCTTATCGTGAACCGAGACCTCTGACGACAGCAGCAAGATTACTCCTCCAGTAGCAGCAAGTGCTACGCAGAAAAGAATTGCCAGGGGTTTTTTATGGTACAAAGAATTTTCCAGTTTGCTCAGGAAACCCTAAACTTGTAACCACTTGCCCAGGCCATGATAGTGTCCTTGCTATTTATCATCTTTAGCCTCAAGCAACACCTGAACACAAGGAAAAATAAAAGACAACACTTTCCAAGGACACAAAGGAAAATGACTCATTCAACAAATTTCGAAATACACAAATGGCTTATCAAAGAAGACCTGAGAGTTACTAGCCATAATAATAATACTAGCCAAAATAAACCATATCTTCTTTTTGTTTAAATACATTATTTAATGAGTTTTCTTTAAGAAAGAGATATTTTGAAGCTCAAATTACAATAAAGTATAATATTCTAGATCTACAGTAGACAGTGCTATAAACGTTTACCAAACCAGGTATTTTCAGGTTTGCTCCTCTGCTGTTATTGTTATCATTTAAGGAAAAGAAACTCAAAATCCCCTGTCAACAGCAATCCTGTCCTAATCTGGCTATTTCACCCTAGAACAGAGTAAGGACAACAGCCTGTTACCACAGTCCTCTCCCAAAATACAGACCAAATGTCAAGCAGGAGCAAGACACTGTCATGACCACACACTAACTCAGCTTTTTGAAGAGTGACAAGTAAAATGGAGCAGTTGGTTGGAGACAGTATTGAAAAAGGTGTTGCTCCTTTCCCACAAGAATCACAAAAAATGCGCTCTCGCTACTGAAGTCAAACTTCCATTGAACTCCTCTCCATTCAACACAGTTGAGCAAATCTGAGTTTACGTAGGTAGCTTTGAGTTCACTTTTCCACCTTCTCCTTACATTCTCCCTCTTGTTACCCAACGTTTTCTTTCTCCCTTTTCTTAGCCCACATTACCCCTTCATCATTTCTATTTTCAGTTACTTGGTCCCAGCGGGATAGAGCCAGAGCACCGCTCCTCTTCAGTCTTCTGGCATTGTCAATACTGTGGCAAAGGGCAAATCAATAGTGCTGAATTAGTACAGAGAAAGAAAAAAAGAAACAGGTCAATTCCTCGGAGAGTTGTTCTGTGTCTTTTAAAGGCCATTTTGCACAGCCTTTAAATTCTAAAAGTACACATGAGTTTCTGCAATTAGGGTAAAAATCTGATCGAGCCGAAAAAGTTTCAACAGTTCTCGGTTTAAACTGAGCAGCAAGATGATGAACCACAGCAAGCTACTGTTTGAAACCTGCTGCTCAGCAATTCAGACATAAAAGCAGACATCAGGTGTAAATTTCATATTTATTATAACAAAAATTATGACATGTTCAGTTGTGCATTCGGCTTTAATATAACTCTCGGTATGTAAATGTTCTACAGCAAATGAGCTCTATACAATCATGCTGGTTGTGGCAGCAGTAAGGAACACAAAACGTGTCTGTAAAAGTAAGGAAAGAAAGAGACCAGAGGAAAAAGTGGGTTTCTTTAAATGGTCTACACCACCTCAGCTCTAGCTAACTTGTACACAGCCGCTCAGTCCGTTATGCTCAATGACCGTGGCCCGAAGAGTTGCTTAAGAAAAAAGGTCAGTTTTTCAGGTTGTGTCCTTAATGCCAAGGCTACAAAACATGTAAGCATCACTATACAACACTGAGCTATTTACAGGAATTTCCCAATCAACTGTTCTCTCAGAGAAAATTAGTGAATCTCAGTGACTTAAGTCACCTGAAAGAGTAATGCAACTCCTAGGAGTTAGTCTCCATATGCTACAAATGTCTATCATTTTCAAGACCAAAAAAAGCCTTTTCTCTCAAAGAAATACAGTATTACAATATTACTTAAATCATTTAGCACTGGCTACTGCCCTGCTTTTCAAACAAAACAAACAAGCCATTTTAAAAAATATTACATCATCATCTGTTTCTCAGCAATATATTAAACCTTTTTATTATTTTTTGTTGGGGTTTTTTTGTTTTGTTTTTACACTTGATATGTTAAGGGAAGGTTAACTACTTTAAACTTTACTGGTCAAGCGTCTCTAGAAGAAAGTCAATGAATATTAAACCTAACAAACTGAAAAGCTGCAGTTATCTGTAGTGACAGGATAAGGAAAAGGAAGTATATAAAGGATAAGGAAAAGGATAAGGAAAACCCCTGCTGTAATGCAAGCCCACTGGGTCCTGCACTCAAGTCTCCTTGTTTGTTAGTTTATTTCTGAGCAGTAAATAGAGTGGGTCATAGTGGTGTATCGTAATAGTCTGCCAGGTGGTCCATCGGATACTGCCGCTGCTGCTGCTGTTGTTGTTCCTGGTGCTGCTTCATAATCTCCTTGACTTCTTCTTCAAGCTCTGGTGGGATGATGAACTGGTCATCGGGATCGGGTTGTGCTGGAGCAGCGAAGTAGCCCCCTGTTTTTCTGAGCGGCGCATCCGTTGCAACTTCTATTAAGTTATGACTCCTCTCTTGGGGCGCCACAGAACCATTGCCCCGCCGGCGCCCTATTGTGCCTGTGGCAGAATACTCAGCTTTCCTGGGGAGGCCGGGCTCATCTTCATTGGCACTGATGACGATACCTTCGTCGCTGGCTTCCACCGGCACTTGGAGAAGCTGCTTGTCCTTTGCTCGGCTGCAGTGGATGTCCACCTCCACTTCCACACGGCTGCCGTTGGTGAACACCCCCTCAATTGGCTCCTCATCGTCGCTGTCAAGACCGTTGTCGGAGAAGGCGCTGGAGAAGGTGGCGCTGGAGAGCTGCCGCTGGAAAGAATTCGACAGGCAGACGGGGTGTAGCATGCAGCGCTGCTCCCCTGGGTAGGCCGGGCTGTTCTCGTTCATGGCGACCTGGGGAGGCTCGTCAGAGGCTGTGGACCCCACCTCACTGCTCATTTCGGAGGTGGAGATCTCGCTGCTGATCTCTGAAGCCATGCCGCTGCTCGAAGATGGCATCCCAAGCGCATCTGTTGGCCTATCCTTGATGACCACATTGACAGACTGGGGGAAAATGCCTGGGCTGGGGGGTGGGACCCCATTAAGTTCACAGCAGCAGAAGCTGTCCTCTGTCACGTTGAGCTGAACCACGACAGCACTGATACTGTCGTTGCAGCCGTAACTCTGGGCCAAAGTGCAAAGCTTCTTAGCGGCTGCCAGCGCATCAGGCACATTTCTGACGGCCTCCACTGCTTCATCCATCGAGAGGCTGTCCCACAGGCCCTTGCTTCCCAGAACGAAGAACTCATCTTGCGGAGTTAAGGTGATGGACTGGACGTGAGGACGCGGCACAACACTCGGGTGAAGAAAGGTGTACCCCAAGATTCTGGTTGAATCCGTCACACCATTCACTTTGCCATCCTGAAATTAGAAAGGACAGGAAATGGGAAACAAAGCAGACAAGGATAGACAGCACTTGCATCTCCTTGCATTTTACTGGTAGCTATTGCTGCAGTACCCCCAACATTGCCATTTACGGACAAGAAGACGAAAAGCGAAGTGACTTGCAAGGAGGTGACAGAGCTGGGATCAGAGTACCGCAATGGCTGTTTGCAATCCTGTGCTACGCCTCCTACACCCTACTGATTTGTCATGAGCATCACCTATGCACAGGCCAACAAAGCAGCAGTCTGCAACAAAGAGCCATCTATTCTGCTCCTGCAGCTGCGAGAGCCAACTGGACTAATGTTTTACCAGTGAGTCAGACTTATCCCTCCTCCACCCACGATATCTGGCTTTATACAGGACAAAGCTACACACAGCTCCATTTGATACAGGGGCAGGTCATTCGGTTATGACTTCTCTCTTGCAGCTGTAACAACTGTAGGTTTCACCTTGGCTCATCATTTTGGAAACAAAAGTTCATTAAAAAAAAAAAAAAGACTTTAAATGAAGCATGCAAGTCAAATACAGCAGAGAGCAAGTCTGCATTTCTCAGTCAGCTGAGTTGTAGTGAAATGTTTTACATGCCCCAATTACTTATTATGTTTCCACTTAGATAAGACATTTCCAAGGGAAGGAGTAGTCATATCTGAAGGGAAAACTTCAGCAAAAATGGATGTATTTGAGAAGTAAATACCATGCACGTCCAAATCCCAGGATCCTGTCCTGGTTAGAATCCAAGCTGCCAGAATAAGCAGAGCAAGAGTTTGAAACAGCAAGCTTGGCTATCTGTCAGCCTGCTGGGTATAGCTGCACCCTGCTAATTGCATGTTCAAGAAGAACAACAAAGGTGAGGATTTACACTCATTTTGTCCAGCTGATGACTGCAGTGGTTATTAAAGAGCAGATAACCACAGAAAAGGGAACCAAGGCTAAAAAAAGCTTCCCTTTTAAAACCACTCAGGAGAAAAAAAAACCCTCTTTGGCTTGTTAACTTCCCCATTAGAAGGCTGACAGCAGTGATAAGCCATCAACACGCATGAAATCAGTGAGTCATCTTAAGATTCAGCGCAGCAATTTCCCTTTTTCTTTACGGAACAGCACAATGAGCGTGCTTCGGTGATGCACACTACGTTGGAGTGACTCTCTTCCAACTTGTCATGTTTGAGATTCCAGTCGACACCTTTCCCTGGCAAGATCAACAGGCACATAACTTATTCCACACACACACACTACCCCCCCCACGCACACCCCGCTCATGGGCTTACAGCAATGAGTCTTCTGCCCTTTCCTCCGCCATTAGGAGGATTCAATATTTATCTATTTCTATGCATGTGTCACACAAGGCAAAGCAAAACTGACAGCGGTGGCTTCAAACTTGTAAGAAGGGAACAAGTAAGTTTTCTCATCTCTCATGGTTCAGCTGAGCACAGGATAGCTTTTCCTTTTGGGCAAGTGCTCTCTGCAGCTCTGGGAACATAGGGGCTCAGACAGCAAAGTCAACCTGCCAGGAGCAAGGAGTCTCCTAAGGAGAAGGATGGCATGGCTCCAAGTGCTCTGCCCTCTCATCCTTTGCGATTGGAGGGGCTCTTCACGACTGCTCCAACACAACAATTCCCCTCCCCATTAGCAGAAGGGAGTCTGCTTTCCTGTTTCAATGCAATGTGCTCGCAGTTGCTCACTCTCTGAAGCTAAACAAAACCCAGCATAGCAATGGGATGGAAAAGCAACTTGATTGCATGACATGAATCACCCTGAAAGTAAAAGTGCAACTCAGGAACGCATACCATTAACACTACCTCTTAGAGGGTACTGATACCGACATGTGATTTCATGCATTACTGGGCAAACACTCTCCAAGGAAGTTGGAAGTTGGAACAGTCCCTAACTGTTCTCTAACCTCTGTGATAATGGCCTTATGCTGCTTAATCCTCTTCAGCTCTTCTTCACAACTCATCACGTAACACCTGGACAAAGGCAGAGGTTTCCCATTCCGGCAGAGAATGGTTTGGCACTTCCCCACGTTTGCTGAGGTTAGCGTGAAGCATCCACCAGGGTCCATGGGATCATGTTTTATATGGCAAAGGACAGCAGAGCCTCCAAGTTTTTGTCCAGCTGTTCCAAGTTTCCTGGAATTTAAACAAAACAATGATTGTTCTTTAATTGGAAAGCAAGTGTTATGGGTACTATGGAGAAACAGCCGCTGTTCTGCAACCACAAGCACTCAGGGCATTGACTCTATTGGATCACTAGGACAGAAACAAAAGTCTCCACTGAAGACTGTGACACTACGGCAGCACTGCAGAGAAATCACGTGCCACTCTCGGGCAGTGTGTTATTCACACATATGCAGATACTCAAATCTGCTCAATTTTAGAATAAAACCCCCATCTTTGCACTTTTAAGAGTTACACAGTTGTGTCTCTTCCTCTACATCTTAAGGACATTTGTTTCAAAGGTCAGATTGAGGGGAAACAGAGGAAACAGAGGTTAGGAAAGTACTGAGGGCTATTAAATAAGTACAGGTAGAGCTTAAAAAGGGAGTTCATATAATCCGGCCAGTTCTCTGGCTTCTGAAGCTACATATTTTATTATAAAAATAACAATTCTAACTGCAAAAACTCTGGTTTTGAGCAAAACCAGAAGGCAGAGGTTCACTGTTTTGAGATGTCTTCAGAATAATGCTCTCAAATTATCAAATGATGATGAAAAAAGCACAGTGGCTGTTAACTCCACTGCAAGAAGGCACTCTTTTCATTTATCCTGGCAGTTACTAACGTGTTAAATAGGTTCTCAGAACTATTTAAGCCTGCTGTTTTCTCAGGAGTTGTAGTGGAAAAAAACACATCTATGGGTAAAACTGAAGCTTTCAGAATCCTGTCATTAGAATGTAAATTCATTTCAGTACTAGACCATCAAAAATGATCAATACTTCCCAGTATTTTGTTTATCAGGGCCTTCTCCTATAGTAATTAGGAACTGAAGTAAATCAAAAGCTAATTAGAGAGGTTACTAAAATTTTTATTAAGGCTATCTATAGCTGGCAAGAACTTTTGATTCAAAATCCTGGGGAGAGAATGCACAACTAACAAGCTTCAATGTGCTTTTCTATTTTATTTTTTAAAAATATACTTCAGGAGTGTTGCGTATCATCTGTAATAATCCTCAATGAAATGGTTAAATACAACTGGAATGACTACTAATTCTGGTTCTCCAGAGAAGTGGTTAGCTTATTTTTACTTGAGCTGAAAAAAAAAACCCAACAAAAAAAAGCAGCAGCTTTTTGTAGGAATGCTGCCACATTCCTGTGAGATTGCATTAGTAGTAAACAAACCCACTTAATAAGTACTTTCGATACTCAAATTTGTTATTATTTTTGAATATTTTAAGTATATGGCAACCACCTTCTCAGCTACCAGTCTGAGGCACAGTTATAAGCAATTATGGGAAAGAATCATTCTCTCTCCTCCGTTTGCAAGGTTCAACACCAGCCTACTGCTTCTGTGTCTTTCCTGATACCAGAACTTCAGTACTTTTCCCTTCCAAAGGTGCAGCAACTGAACAATAAGCAACGCTACTTTTAACTTGATCCATTTCCTCGGTCTCTAAGCTGCTTATTTGCTTTCTCCTTTGTTTCCCTGACCTCTTCGTTCTCCTCTGTTCAGTTCCCTTCATACTCCTCCTTCGCTCGGCATCTCCCCAGGCACAATTTCTTCTGTCAAGAACAGCACGCACGCGGGTTTCCAAACCACTACATAGGGCTACCACTAAACTCACAGCTATTGTATCATAATCTCTTTGGATCGGTCTTTCCCAAAGCGCAAAGGGATGTCAGGAGACAGACATTTCTAAGGAGTCAGACTACATGTTTTAAATATTCGTGTAGCCTAAATAACCTGAATTAGTACAGAGAAACAGAAAGCATCAGCCCAGGCTTTGCAGCCAGCAGTAGTAAGGAAGTTTAAAAGATGATCAGGGGATTCATACCACTGACTTGGTTACGGCCAATTGTGAACCTTAAGACTTCAAGAAGATACCACAAAGAAGTAAACCTCTACCCACCACTTAGGTGGTTTTTTGTTTGTTTGTTTGGGCGGGGAGGTGTTAGGGTTTTTCTCCCCACACCGGAAAGGAACAGAAGGCAATATTCACAAAACTAGCAATAAAAGAAAACACCATAGCCAGATACCAAGGCTTTTTTTCCCTGCTTGCATTTTGTTGAAGCAAGACAAGAGCAGGTGTCTGACTCAAAAGTGAACAAACTGCCCAGCGAGCACACACAGGTAAAAAAGGCTTCAGATCCAAGACTCACCTCTGCATAACGATGAAGGTGTTGATCATGTATTCCTCCTCGTTTTTTGTTTTCTGCAGTTCTTCTGCTAAGATGTCGCTCATTGTGCACTGCAGCAGATACGGCACTTCCACATTGCGATCACCATCAAAAACACCATAAAGTGCCTCCCGGTTGTCGCAGAAGTTATTGGCTGAAAGTGCTGCCACACACAGCCTAGTGAAAAAACAAAGCAGGAAAATATCAAGGTTGTCACCCGCTACTAGTTTCCCATCTTGTCATTCTGACCAGAGAGATGCAGCCTGGTCTGAGCGCTAGTTTTAACCACCTCTGTTCACAAGCATTTCAGGTCTGCCTTCTGAGCTGTGAAGAAGAGTCAGGCCCATCAATAGTGCTAAGATGTGGAGAGACCTATACTGGAAGTTCAAGCCAAGCTGTAAGGATTCTTCCTCCTATGAACAAGCATGTGAACAAGTCCCTTATTTGTAGAAATATGAGGGAAAGCATCTCTGAAACATCAGTTTAAACTGTACTCGCTCCTCCAAAAGCCATCCTTGTGATTTAACACAGTGATGACCAAGTAGTGTGCTAAATCAGTTAACAGTAAGTGAAGGCTTGCTGGCACTTGCTACAGAAACCTAGGTAGCAGAAGATTTCTAAAAAGGTATTTAAGGAATAAAGAAAGATTCATCACATTGCCAGCAACACAGAGACTAGCAGACTCTTGGTACATTATTTATCAAGTGCTGCCTTAGTCACAGAAGCTCTCCGCACACTATGAATATTCAGAGTTTTGGCCATTCTGCCTCTTCCTTCAGTATCTCTGATTTGCTTGGTAAACATCCTTTGGTTGAAGATAAAGAAGCTTTGCAAAGAGAAAAATGCTTTTAAACACTCAGATCTTTTGCAAGTACTGGAGCCTTGCGCAGACAAAATGTGTCGGTTACACTTGTATCTTAGCAACTTCCCTAACAAAGACCAAAGTGGAGAGCCAGGCAGGGGCCCTGCACACAAATACAGAGTCATGGCATGGCCTCTGCCTTTGTGAGGCCCAAAACGTCCCCAAAACTTTCACTGAAAATAAGGGTTTCTTTGTATCAGCATAGGGGCGCACTGCTGCTAGGATGCTTGTACAATGAAAACCACGCCAGGTCGTACTTGTTCTTAACGCCCGATGCTTCTGTGTAACCGTGACTCCACACTGCCGGCGCTCCCGAAGCATCACTGGCTGAGGGCTGGTCAATCTTGAAGCAACGGATATTGCTGCAAAGAGAAAGGAAAGATGCAATGGATTGAAGTGCTGACATGGTTCAGCTTAAAATGTGAAGATGACACCTTTTTTCCCCCTCTCCCAGGTCTTAGTAAAACATTTAATAGAAGAAATTGAAGCACGACATCCAAAGTGGTTGCTTTCATGTGCCTGTACACAAAGAACAAAAAAGCAGAAAGTAACTGACCTTCTGTGAGGGTGTCAGCTGCACTGTTTTGCTTAGCTGGCTTTTCTTTCCCTGCCCTCGCCCCTGAGCTATTTGATTCAAACCTGGCCCAGTAGGAGTACAAGGGAAATTTGTCACTAGCTTGATGAAACCCAGCACAAAGGAGTGATTTTTTAACTTACATATCTCTGCCACCCGTTTGAACAACAAGTCTCTGGGCTCCTTTCATTGTACTCAAAATGAAACGTCCTATATGACACACAACACCCCCAAATCAAAAAAAAAAAAAAAAGAAAAAAAAAATCTTTATAAACAGCAACATGTAGTAACAGCTTTCCATGAAAATGCCCACAAAACAGAAATTCGCTCCATCCCGGGGTGCACCAACCTGCAAGAGCCAGCCTGCGGTCCTGACAGCGGGCATGGCCCTTCTGCCTTCCCCAGTTGTGCAGGCCAATTTTTACTCAGGCCCTTGATCCTCTACCCTCCAATTTACTACCAACATAGCCTTTAGCCTGAATTTCAAATATCTCACGCAGTGTCGTGAAGACTTAAAAAGGGCCCAGCCCTCTCTGTTTATACCCTTCTCTTCAGAGCCCTGCTTTGCTGGGGAGAGATGACCTCCCCGCTGCTCTCTACTGCTCTCTTCCAAAGGCAGGGAAAGCGAGCTCCCCACACGCTGCAGACACTTCAAAGGCACACGAATCTTTCATGAACCAAATGAATCATAAAAGGACACAAGCAGAAAGGTCTAACTGTTCACTCTGAGCATTCATTTTTCTCTGTCCAAACCCCCACCTGACCTGAACACACAGAAAAGTCTTTTCAGCATTGCACAGCCTTCCTCAAATAACCTCAAGTACTGTCACATCCAATTCGATTACTTTTTACACTAATAGCCAGGATGCACACCAGCAAGAGCAGATTAAGAGCAAACAAACTACATAAATAACATTAGAACCACTGGTGTTTGAAGTCCTTGGTTTTGCAGCCCTCTGTGTGACAAACAAGAGGCAAACATCTCACCATGAACATTAGAAAAGATTATCTGACCCCAAATCAAACTGGAAACTTGTATCTCTTCCAAAGTAGCAGAGATCTTAATTCTGTCTGCACCTGCAAAACACTACACAGGAGCAAACACACTTTCTTCACAGACTTCTCATACAAGGCACTTATCTTCCAGGACAGAGGAACTTGGATCAAAATGTTTTTTCTGCTTGTTTCTTTTTTAACTGGGTTGACTGGCCCCTAGTTCCTGGGTGGGTCAAGGACCCAGAGTGGTCTCAAGGCTTCCCAGTAGCAGTGAAACAAGCTACCTCAACACATTGCTTAAAGCTTTCTCAGTGGCACCACTACAAACAGACCACATGTCCAGAAAGGAATGATATCAGCAGCACATCCTATGCAGGGAATATGGGCGAAGGCTTCTGGACAGCATAGTTTATTTTATTTTTTCCCCTAATTTAAAATGACTGTTACAATTGAACTAGATGCTTTGTCCTAAAAATCAGAGTAGCAGCACCTTTTTTTTTTTTTTTTTAGCTTTTTCATTTTAATTGCTACTGAAAATTCCTACATCCAATAAATCACTTGGCAATGTCCTCCTAAGCATGCAAACCTCCTTTAAGATCTCCATACATATTAAAAAAGCAGGCATGCATGACAGGACTCTTCTCACCAGCACTGAGAATATGTATTAACCTACTACCTGCTTGAATCCTGCCAGGGCACAGATGGAGAGCTGCCTTTCACATGCAGAAGGAAGATATGAAAAGTACTAAGTGCACAAGTATTTTTGTGCCTGTCACAAAAAAAACAAGTGAAAGAAGCACTTCCTCCCTCACAGTCAATTATAGCAGTATACCGTAGAAGTCAGTGTGGAGTACCAGTACAGACACTAAGAAGCCCCTCAGGAGGTCTGAAACACCTCACTGTGGCTAATGAATATTAGGGAAGAGAACAGACCTGAGATCTTAGGAATAATTTATTTTTAAAAACCCCAAACAACCGACAAGACACACATGCAATATGAAAAAAGTTTTCCTCACACACCAGCGAAAATATGGCATGTAACTGGGCCACACTATTCTTCTACTACTTAGTACTTAAATTTGTACAATACTGCTATACGGCATGATGCCTGAACACTAAAGTGGCAAGTGTCTGCCGGGTTATACACAAGAAAAGTTGATCTTTCACTTTAAGTTTTGACACAATTCAATTAGCTTTGTAATAGATCTATTTTTTTTTCCTTATCAACCAGAGCAACATTATGTACTGCTTCTTCAGGAAGGTTTCCTGTATACAATAAAGCAGCTCTTAAAACAGAGGAATGCCCCTTTTTTTCACTGTCTGCTGCAGAACATGGACTCTCGGTTTTAGCTGTGAAAACTCATTGTTATTCAAATTTCCATTTAAATTCAATAAAATCTGCTGATTCAAGCTAAAAGCAAACTCACACTGTGAGTTTCCCTTGCTTGCACAACAGATGAGGCTTACTACTCCAGTGTCTGATCTTAACCATTTAAAAGCAACTGCTCAACCCTTAAAAAGTAAATCAACCCTTCTTGGAATCATTCAATATTTAAGGATCAAAGAGAACTCGGAAGGAAACTCGGAGCTGGTTCAGTTGCCTTTGGAACATAACAAAAGCTCAAGGCAGCACCCCTGTCCACAGATGATCTGGTTTAGCGCAGTAGTTTTCCAACACACTGCAGAAGGAGGCACAAGGCACTTGGTGACATTCTGACCTGGGACTTAAAACAGGTAGACAGGAAGGTAACAGAGGGTCCCAAAGAAAAGGAACTACCTTTGCTGCGACCAGAGTGGAGATACCAGTCTTCAGGAGAGGTTTAAATATGAAAAATACATAGATATTTCTAGGACAAAAGCAGAGAGGTATGAAGGGTAACAAATAGTATATGCAGAGGTAAAAAGCAGCACAACGGTGAAGACAGACCCAATCAGATGAACGTGAGCAAAAAAAAATCTAGTAAGCAGCTACTGGCACTTCAACAGTGGAATAATATAAGTATTTTGGTGGAATCTAATGTCAGAAGTAAAACAGAGATCAAACTGGCCCAATAGTGGCTATACCAGACTAGCAGACCCCTTCAGGAGTTACTGCTGAAAGCAACTGTACTGAAGTGGGTAGTCATCCTCTTCACAAAGCACTAATTTCTGACCTATCCACATAATCTTTTACTTTCTGATCCACTTTCAACAGGAAGCCATACTCCTGAGAAGAGATTTACACTTCCATGTTTTGTGGTTTTGTCACATCCTACTGACAGCAGTCGTTCTGCCTCTTCTCCACTCTGTAAGGTAACTTACTTCAGCAGCTCCAGGGTTTTGTGATCCAAGGCTAATCTAGGATTTCCAGTCAGGTCCAGCTCTTGTAGTTTTGGAGGCAGGTTTTCAGGCAATGTGACTTCACTCAGTTCATTGCAGCTTAGGTCCACGCACTGTGAAACGAAAGCAGCCAAATAAGAAAGAGAATTCATCTGTCATCAAGATCGTACAAATTTTGATTAAATGTAGTAATGTGTGTTTTGTGAAGAATAAAGGCTGCAACCATGACCCAAGACCATTCATTTAAGGAAGCAGTTCTTACAAAAATTTAATATGGCATTTAGCCATCTTACCAGGTACCTGGGACACCTAGTAATATGTTCCCTCCATTTCCATCTCTGGCCTGGTATTACCAGTAAATTTTTTCTGCTCTTCAGAGACAAAGATGGTCAGTGTATTTTCAAGTATTTAAGAAAAAAATGTTACTGATGAAACCAGTCTTTTGATAAAGGAAGTGGAGATAAATACAGTTGGGGTTTCTAAGCATAGCAGTCCTTCCTCCAAAGTCAGTTTAAACCAGCATGAGTATAAGCAGGCTCTCAGGAATTCAGTATTTACTGAGGGATATTAAAATGAGCAGGGTTATGAATGCATGAGGAGGGGAGGAGGAGTAGAGGGGAGAAAGAAAAAAAATTGGACCAGTTTGAAACATGGTTTTATCTCATCTAATCTTAGATGGATTCATATTTAAATATGAACTAAATAAAATGAGTGAAAAAAATTAAAGCTTAAATATTTCAGAAAAAAATATGATATAAAACAGCAGAAAAACTTGCTGGCTACCCACCAGCTAAGCATTAATTAGCTAGAAAAAGTGCATTAGAATGACAAAATCCCCAAACAAACATTGTTTAAAGCTGCATGTCCAGATGAAAGTCAATACACAGGGAAAAATACAGCATTTTAGAACAAAACCAACTCTCCACACCCTACTACAGGGCCATCAGTGTAGCATGCAGCAAAAACAAAAAAAATTTGAGATGACAGAGCAGGCTGGTATTTAACAGAGGACAGAAGAACTACCTACATGTTTCAGAAAGATCATTTCCTACTTCCAACCTCCGAAAAGAGAAACACTTAAAACTTAAAAACAGAAACTTAAAACACCCCAGAAAGCTGAAAGGGGTGCGGGGAGGCTTTTCCTAGCTGCTCATTTTGACCATTACGTTATTTCCATTGATACAAGTGAGACACTTTCATTTTTGTAGGTACATTCAAAGAAATTGGGTCCTGAGCTGGAAGAAGGCATAAGATAACCTAGTGAAATCTGGAAAAGAAAAATCTCCCCACACTTTATTAAATACATGCAATGGAAATAACGAATTTCTGACCCAAATCTTGAATCCTGAGGTTGTTTAATACGGAGTCCTTATTATCTATGAAGAACAAACTGCTGATAAGGAAAAAAAGCCTGATAAGGAAATCAGAATTTAAATCTGTCACGCAAATAAAACAGTAGACAGCTTAAGAGAACAGTTATTCCAGAGAGCTTTTTCTACTCTGTGCAACTCCTTGCTGCTTCCAGAGAGCCAGTAATTACTTTGCAGATTAAAGAAGCTGCCAGCAGGCCTTGCTCTGTTCAACACCTCGATGCCATTATGAATTTGATGGAAGAGTGTGCTGGAATAACAAGTACAGAAATCGGTAAAGTAATTTCATTGTTCTCATCAAATGCCCAATATGCCAAAGGTAGCAACACTCTACAGCAGATCCCTTGGTCCCTAGGCACTAGTGAAGATAGCTTATTTATCAGGTTAGGATTTCTTAGATCTTATTTGTACTGTTTGAAGAATAGGCTAAGAGGGACCTTCTGCATATCTATGTTAAATTTAGTCCTTATACTACTCCCCAGGAAAGCATATTTCCTTACTGATTCCAACTTCCTACGGCATTATTTTAATGCAAGCTGGTTTAGCCCCACCCATGCAGCGCCAGCAGAACAACTCTTGCGGCTGCACACAGGATCTCACACTGGAAACGCCAGCTGGAAGACAGGATTTAATATTCAGCATTTGCTTCACTGCATTTACAGCATTGTGGCCACTTTGTTCAAGGCTGGAAAGGACTTGAGTTATCTCCAGTTGTGACTGAAGGTGGCCATACCAGTACTAACCTATTTAACCAGGAGAGAAACTACCAAAGATTGAGAGTTCCTCTAAGATGCAACTGCTACTAGATCTTCACTTATTTCGGATCTCGAGGTAATGCTCCTGTGAAAGACAAGCTTGACCAAGAACTTCCACAAGAAATCTCCATATCACACTCACCGCAGCAGCCCAGCAAGACAACAACGAAAGAGAAGCAGCTCATCAGTCAACAAAAACTGGATGATAAAGCCAGGTCCTGGGTGGGAAAAGCAAGCCCGGGTCGCTGAGGTCTGCTCAAGCAGTAACGACTACTCAACTGTTTGACTGCGAAAGAACACCGTGATGTTGAATAACAATTCAAAAAGGGCCCTTTTTTATTTTGTAAGGCAAGGAAACTGAAGTAGAACAATGGCTCTAAGTAAAAGTCCTCTGGGGCATTGACTCAGGTGTGTGTGCTTCTAGCTGCTCAGCCATCCGCAGAAGACATTTCAGTGTGCACAGACAAACCTAACTCTGACAGTATAAATAACTGTCATAAAATACAATAAAAAGCCTAAAAAATGTATTGTATAAGAGATCTCAGAGACATTCACCAGCTCTTCAACACAGAGGACAACAGGTAACTTTTGTAGCCTTGACTGTAGTGTGTAAAAAAGGCTTAGAGACAATGGTATCACTAAAATGACCTTGTGTTTGGAAATCCTGGAGTTACTGCAACTGTAAAAGCACCATAATTCATACTAGCTTTCCTTCTGAAATTATTTCAGACAGCATAGTAACTGCTGCTACTAACTGTTCCAGTATCACTGACTCCAAAATCATAACATGTCAGCCTTTCAGGCTAATTAAATACAGAAGGCAAAACAGCCATTACCCTCAGGTAACGGACTTTCCCAAGAAGTTTAGAGCGTTTGAATGCCACCTCAGTTAAAATTAACCATCAAATGAGATAAAATCACAGAGGTGACATGAAACGATACAACTCTGTGCTTTGCTACAAGCAAGCTTATTTCACCAAATAACCAAATCCATACTTAAGCAATAAATTCTGAACTAACCTTGGTACATTTTGAATGCTCTCACGTACCTAAGAAGGAGGTCCGGTTAAGCTAAGCAATAGATACAGGCAGGCAGCACAAGCTTGACCTCCAAACTGACAAACACCAACCCTGACCTAGAGAAACCACCAAGAGGCCAGAACCACCCCTGTGCTCCGCAAGGCACCTTCCCATCTAGCAGCTACATGAGCTCATCTCACATAAGTCAAAACCAGGCTTGGGTACTGACGAGGCATTTTCTTTCCACGGAAGTGGAGTCCTAGAGCACTATGCCCTCTTAGATGAAGTCACACATGCTATTTCTGCAGTCCCAAAACAGTTAGTGACATTCATGCCTCTTTTGTCTGCTAAAGAGAACTAAGTAACTGTAGGGAACCAGCAGGAAGAAACCGCCAGGTCTTCCAAGAGCGTTCTTCTGCTAAGCGCTGTTGCAGAGTAGCACTTTAAATACTGATGCTTTTATAAAACATTTCCCTAAAACACATGAACAAAAGGAAAAAAATCAATTGTTCCCTATCAGCACGTATACGTTACTCTCATTTTTAAATTTTTTTTTTTTTTTTACCACCACCCTCATATTTTTAAAGAAATGTTTACTGCGCAGAGCCTCTCTCCCCCACCCCAATTCTTCCTTTAACAAAAAAGGCTTTACTTCTGATTGATTCTAAATGGCCCTCCGCTTCCTCTGGCCATTGTTCCAAAGAGGGAGGAGTATTCACAAACCCACAAGTTTGCTTGAGATTTCCCGGCTAAAACCACAAAGCTCATCTTTACATGTACTTGCTGTCCAACAGAATTATTGCTCCTGCTGCTTTGCCTGACCCCAGACACTGAGGCACGCACAGCAGTCTGGGAACTTAGCCTTTTGACTTTACAGAGCGCCTGAAAAGACACTGAAGTTGTTTTGAGTCTGTGAGTAGGTAATCAGTTCTCTGCCTCAGAAAACGACAGATTTTATGCTGTATCGCAAGATTTGTACGTTGCGAGTTAACCATCTCCCAGCTCTGGCCAGCAGAAACAGCAGACAGTGTGAAATATTCTGCACGATAGCCAGGCGAGAAGCAGGAGCTCGATTCACAAAAGGTAAGCAGTAGCGGTCTTCAGCCTGGTCAAGCAAAGAATGCGTCCAACAAAAGGAAGTGTCAGGAAAAGTACAGAATTACTTCTGGAAACACAGACAAGAGACGGATTAAGCATTACTCCGGCTGTGCAAAATATGACTGTAATTAGGAAAATTAAAGTAGCTTGCCTGAATAGTCAAATCCTGCGCTCCTGGAATTTATCTCTGTCCCCAAGGCCTATCATATTTTGCAGCTTCAGCGCTTTTTAACACTCGCTGTAAACAAAGTCCATTCCTACACAATCAATCAATTGCCAAGGCAGCAAGAGTTAATTACACATAGCTCTTGCCAAATGTTTAAGCCTTATAATAACAGACTGTCACAGGAAGACGATTAACACTTATTTGGCAGAGAAGATAGGATCGAGTGAAGGTGAGTGTAAAATCAGATTCTGAGGCTCTTCTTCCATTCCACTCTGAGGCAGCACAGGGGCGAATACTTTGCATATGACCTCAGAGGAGAAAGCAGCTGTCAGATCTCCGTAATTTCTGAGCATTTACTACTCCATAGCAATAAGAGACCTGAGGGGAGAACAGAATCAGTGAAGTCGCATTATACTTGCTTCTTCCAAAGCACATTCATTCCTTACCTTTATTTCAGAAAGCTGCATGACTTCTGGGAAGACTTCGATGCAGTTGGAGTGAGCAATTACAGTATGCATACGTCTGCAGTTCATGATGGTTGTTGGAATGGCTTTCAGTTTGTTCCCACTAATATCAATTTCCTCCAACTCTTCCAGCTTGGCCATTTTGCTATGAAAACAAGTTTCAGAATTTTTCTTTTAATAGATACGCATATTTTATTTTGAAGTGGTGATAAAAGCAGTGGTTTTCATTATTTTAAGAAAATAAAATCGCAGACTTTGATCCTGGTTCACAGCAGTGCCTGTCACCTCTCCTCACATCAGACACTAACACAGTTGTGGAACAAAATATGTGCTGCCTCTGTCACTGTTTTGTTAATGCTACTTTTCAAATGACTTATTTTGCTTACATTCCCCCTGCTCACCAGCTCACTTTAACTCTTTTCCTCCTTTCTTCCCCTTTCTTTCAACCCTAGTTTCTCACTTCATGCCAGATTTCCCCCTCTACCTTCCAGCATCCCACTCAGCCCTTCCCCTAATTCATCTCCCTCCCTGCTTGCCGTTCAAGTCCAGCTGCTCAGAACATCACACAAGGACAGAGATGTCTCTTCCTTTATTTATTGGCATCTCTTTTCCAAGGTTGCACCACATCAGCTTTACAGCGCATCTTACACTTGAAAGACTTCTGATTATAACAGAGTGAATTGAAAGCACAGAAATTGCTGCCAAGGCAGAATCTCCTTCTGGAGTAAGAGGACTTTTCCCTAGTGGAGTTTAGGCCACTCAACGAGGCCATTCCCAGACTGATATGCTCACAGATCTCTGGCAAGGAGAAGCCCACCAGGTGTAAGCAAAGTGACCAAGCCAGGGAAAACAGAAGACCTCCTTGCTTGACTTCAAGGAAGATACTGTGTTCATGCTGAATCAGTCCAGTTGAAGAGTTTCAAGCACAATCAAAACACATCAACTAGCACAGAGGACTCTGTGCAATGCAAGAGAGGGTAGCAATATGCAAGAAGGCATAGCAGGTGAATCCACCCACTGCAGTATCACTACATTCAAAATACAGCCTGTGCCACCACACTTTTGTGCAATTTAGTTCTTCCTGTAAAAATGTTTCAGGATGCCCACCCACTGGTGGGCCAGAAGCAGTGAAACCAGTTACTTACCTCGCAGGGAAGCTCTGTAGGCGATTGTAAGCCATGTGCAAGATTTTCAGGTGCGGATGGCCTGTTAACAAGGGTACACATTTATCTGTGAGGTTGTTATTGGTCAAATACAACTCCTGCAAGATGCTATGGGTTTCTTCAGAAAGAGTGGCTGGAGGAAGCATTTCCAGTTTGTTGGCAGAGGCATTAAGAAATCTCAGGCTGCAAAGACAAGTTGCATAAGGGAGTTCAGAGAAACATCCTGCAGGTTTTGTCTAGAATTATAAATACATACTCTATTTTTAAGAGTTAAGATAATTATAAAGCAAAGGTCAAAAGCAACAAGTTCAAAAAATGGATAGGAACACCAGAAGTCTAGCATTATATAACAAAACTTCGGATAACGTTTTAAAATTAACACATTGTACGACCAAAACATAAGCAAAATGAGTACGTCAAAATGCCTCTATCCCCTTATCAAGACCTCAGTACCTCCAGCATTACTACAGATGTACCTGCATTTAAGAGCAGTAACAAATCACATCATTTCCATATTCATTCCACATAAAAATGAATTCTGAATTCATCATCAACAAACTATGAGAGTATAGCTTGCCCTTCAAGTGACTAAAAGAAGCCACTGGTAAAAAGCCAGCCAATTTTTCAGTATTTTAAATACTGGCTAGGGTGCAGACAGTATTTTGTTTAAACCTGCAGGCATGAAAGCAACTACAAAATATGAAAAAGTACTCTCTGAATATTTGGATAACTAAAGATGCACCAATCACAAAGAAACACCAACCCTGAGACCAAGCAGTTGTTTACGTTTTATATTTTAAAGAGAGCCAGTGCTAACAGAAGATCGCTATATAGTTCTTGAGCGTCCTTCCCCTGCTCTCCAAAGTAGGGGAAGCCCTTGTCAGTATTTTCTGCAGTCCCACCACAAGCAGCAAGGACTGAAGAAGCACAGAAAGGCAGTTATTCTTTCTCTGTCAAGGGACCTTCTCCAGTATGGGAACAAGACCTGTCCAGGTATAAGTACTGCCCACTCCTGCCAGTCTAGTTCTGCAGGCGGAGGATTCATGTTTCTTTACAGGAGTTTGGTGATCACAGCAGCATTGGAGGAATACACACTGTAGGCATCTTGAGGGCTAGAATTCACACAAGCAATTCTAAAGAAATGGAAAAATAAGGCTATTTATCCTTTAGTAACCAACTCTGGCATGACTATGCCTTTTCAACAGCACTAAGAACTCCTCTCTCTTCCTTCCTCCCCTTTTCAGAAAAGGCTGCCTTAAAGAACTTGCAATACAGAAGTAAGTGTGTGCCTGCCAGTCTGCAGAGACCGTGTTCAAACCAGGCTGTACCGCTCGTACCAACTAACTGGAATGGGCAGCTGCAACAGGCAAAGTTGCATTCAAGAGACAAGACTCAGAAATGAGCTGGCTGAAGCCTATAAAGCCACTGATCAGGACACAGAAGGTAGGTGCGCTCATTTCATCGGTCAACAGAGAAAGTGATAAAATACTGATAGCTTCTCCCATGCACGCAGGAATCTACACTGACCTTTAAGGTCTATTAATGAATGAAAAGGATTTGCAAGAGTTCCAGCTGGTTGAAACTTGCTGAGCAGCAAATAAGGGTCAGACATGCTACAGAGGAGTCACGTGGAATGCCAAAGGATTTGAAGAACCACTATTTCCATCAGAAGCAAAAATCTCTCAGCACTGCACAGAACTGAAACTAGGTTAGCTGTTTTACACAGACAGCGGAGTCCACTTAGGAGAAACACAGTTTAATCCTCAGGCTCATTCATTATTCACAAGGGTGGTAAAACTCCAGAGGAAGAAGGAAGGAGAGGGAGTATTAATACAGAGAAAGGAATAAGCGGCTGAAAGGTTTTTTAAAATTATTTATTTATTCTAAGAAGATGCTGCTCAATTTCACCCTCTAGATATAAACTAAAAATATATTAAGCTCATTCAAAGTTGGATTATTAAACTGAAGCATACCACATCAACAGCTCCTGTACTTTAATTAAACACCAGAAAGCACATCTATTGCTAAACTACAGACAGCTATTCTTTTGCAACTTCAATCTAATATGCATGACAGTCTTCTCTCTCCACAAAAAAAGGCACTTTGATTAACATTAAAGCCACAATATCTTTTGTACCACTCATAGTACAAAATGGTTGTCTTCAGCTCAGCCTGGAAAGGCTTAAGTAATAAAAAGGTTTAAGGCTGCTGGGAAAAGTGAACTTTCACAGGAATACGATGGGCCTGAGAGGTGGCAGCAAAACATCCCCCAAGAAAGGGCATGTTCTGCTACCCTGAAGAGGGATCTGTATTTTACCTACGTTCTTGCAAGCTGCACCAGAATAACCTGGAGTGTTTCACAGGTACCTTCTTCTAATAACGGAGACAAACAGACAACCTATGGCTATGAAGTTCAGAAGAATGTAAGTTTGCCAAATACAGCTAGCTCAAAACACAGCTGAAAGCTTTGAGTAAGAAAAAGTACATTGTTTACAAAAAGCCAAAATTAATACAGTCTACTATACTGAAGCCATTTTAAATTCAAAAGAAAAAACAATGAAACAAAAGCTCTTCTGTTTTTAATAAACTGTCAACATTGGCGGAATACAACAAGAAATGTCAAGCTGTTCCCTCATGGGTATTAAAAGTGGCCAGAATCTACATATTCTTGCCAAAAAAAGTTTTGATGCATATATTTTCTAATGGGGGAAAGCGGAGACGAGAGGCGTTGCTCTGTACCCCCCTGCCCTTTTGCCAAAACTTCCAGAGAGCGATATGACAACATTGGAAGCAAATCCTCATCATCCTGACCTCCAGTTTAGTGCCTTGATGTGAAGAAGGTTTAGGTAGCTAGCAAAATCTTGCCAACAGTCTAGAATGGGAAGCCTGTGGTAGCTGGGTATCTCACCTACCCCATACATAACAACTCTCAGCTGGGCAGCACTCAACAGTCAGGTTCAGGACAGTCACATACTAATCTCTGTCTGTAGTCGACATCATTAGAATTAAATTAACTTCTTAGTAAGTGTATGCTGCTTATTTACATGTTCCTTTTGACCAGCTGTTACATTAAAACGATAAAATCATTCTGAAACAATAATTGTTTCAAGATAGTCTCTGGATTAAAAAAAAAAAAAACCCCACAACAAAAAACCAGGGGGGTATCACGGTTTGAGGCTGGGCCGGCCACTA